AGCCACCAGGAACTAATTGTTTTCCAAGGTTAAATTATTCATGGACTGCGTGCTGACCCAAATCATTGTGCACCTGCAAAGGCACTGATGGGTGTTGAGGCAAGAGAAGGGAAAGGGCGGGGGGAGTGGGAGCCAGGACATCCTCCTTCACGGGCAGTTTAAGCTGCTTGGGGAATCTTATCCTGTCTGTCCGGCTGCTTTGGTAGGTTTCCTGAGGTGGTTGTTCTGTAAGCGCTTCCATGGCAGCTGAAGCAATTCCTCTGCTTCACCCCATCACCGCTTCCCCTTCCCTGGGACAACTGCTTGGGTGGCTGTGCATGAATGGGACTGGAGGGGACACAGCTACTACGACAAACCTCACCCTTGGAAGAGGTTTGCACTATAGGTGTAGAGTGGTGGTGTTTGTTCCTGGCCACGTAGACTGTTGTGATGTGCTGGTGGGGACTGTATTTCAAACCTTTAGCACTTTTAAATGCATGTGCTTCCTTTCTCCCTTCCAAGTGTAACCCTCCTGCTCTCCAGTGCAGTTCTTAAACCAAACGCAGCAGGAGTGGGGCATGCTTGCCAGCGGGCCCGGGGCTAGGCAAGGGCTGTGGGACGGTGCACAGCCCCAGCTGAGCAGGCAGGTAGCAAGGGGTGGTGGTGGTGCGGGACTGCTGCATGCCTGGTGCTTTCCTTCAAATGCCCTACCTGGAACCACTGTTGGGGCTCTCCCCTCTTGTCCTCTGACGCCTGGGCTATGTGCTTCATGGCTTTCAGCCAAAAGACTTCAGCAGAAGACTAGAAGGAAAAGGGTCAGCTATGCTGGCTCCTCTCTCTCTTGTTTGAGGATGGAGTGCTGGGAGCCTTCTGCGTCTCCCAAACGTGCACTGAGAACTCAAGGAAAGGAATACTTGGATTCAAACAGCATACACAGCGTGGGTGACTGGGCCAGGTGCAGTTTCAGGCCCCTGTTAAAGACCCCAAGTCTCTTCGAGCTTGAAGACGCTAACTCATGTTTTTCTGCATGCCCAAAGCATGGGGTGGGGAATTCATGCCTCAGCCAGCGCTGAGAGGAGCTCACCCAGAGGTGCCCTTGAAGCTGTCGCTTGCAGCGTTCAGTGGATTTTCTTGCTGAGTGCGGAAGAAGTCAAGTGAGTTTTTGGGCCAGGATGTCTCTACTTTAGCCTGTCAGTTCTGTGACACTGAAAATACCCCAGGGAGGGTCCCGAACACCCCGGCCCCTCTGAACCCAGCCCTTAGCCATTTTTTATCTCCAGCACCTTGCCCTGGTGTGCCAGCCAGGCATCCCCCCTCATCACCAACAGGTCTTTGTGACCAGGCACGGCACCAGCTGTGCATGACGTGACACGGGTGTTTTACAATTCACATTCCTCAGGCTCCTGTTCTGCTGGAGGAACTGATGCTTTTTTTTTAACCCAGCCGATCTGCTGTAATGTCTAGACACAAGGGCTGATACAAGAGCAGCAGGTTATTGGATCGCTTTGGGTTTGGCAGTTTATGTCTTAGCTGTTGCATTACTTACGACGCTGTTCTTTGAACATGACCGTAGCCATTGTCATTCATTTGTCCAGACACAACAGGGTTTCTGAGACCTTCTCATTTTTCCATGCTTTCCATAGCAAGAGTGAGAACTTGCTGATAATGCTTAATGTTTTCCTGCTGCATCACAACTTTTTCTGCTTTTGACTAGAGCTGTAAAGCAAAACTTAAGCCTCCACAACTGCTCCGGTCAGACGGCAAACACAGTGCCAAAGCGAGGTGTGTCAGATGCAGCCCAGGTTATTGACAAAGAGTGTGTCTGAGCCTTGTCCTCGCTGCTAAACTAGAGAGGGAGTTAAGCCAGATGGTCCCTCCACCAGAGACACAGCCAGCCTCTCCCAAAAGCGCTGCAGAAGAACTTTTATAAGGGTAGTGCTGCCACTGCAGGGAAGGAAATGGCTGCTCTTCTGAGGCTGTAGCCTCTGTGCCTGTACGTATGTGCATATGTGTGTACACACGCATGCATGAATCTGTAGCGGAAGGGTGGTGAAATCAGAGGGGGACTGTGAAAACAGAGCAGTTAGTTTAAGGCCTGAGCATGTCAGCGGAATCTTTTTTCCCCCCATGTTAAATGAAAGCCTGGCTAACAATCAATAGCAGCAGCAATATTTATGTAAAGTGTAACAAGGTAATGGTGGGGGGGTTTCTTGGTGTGAAAAAGAATAGCATTTTTTGATACACCTTTATTTATTAAATTGAAAACAGCATTGTTTTAGGTGGGTAAAATGAGGCGAGGAAAAAAAAATAGTTCTAAAACCAAGTTTGTTTGGGGAAGCAGAGAGGAGAGTCCTTCAGGATAAACCAAACCTGGACAGGCAGGAAAGGCACACCAGAAGGAACACAGAAACATGAAGCCGCATCTATGGGAGCAGAGCAGCCTGTGGTAGCTGCTACTGAGGGTAAAAAAGAGAAATTAGGGAAAGTTGCCTCCGTTTTGTAGCTGGGTCCATTTGACTGTGCTGCACCCACAGGCAGGGCACAGGGCGCTTCTCCTGGCCCTGCCGGGGAGCCCGGCTCACCCGGCTCAATGCTGCAGCCAGAGGGGCTGGGGACCACAGAGGCTGGAGACCTGCACGAGGGGCCCAGGTGTTTGTCAGCAAAGGCAGAGGAAAACCGAGCCCCTCTGAGGAAGGACAGGGAGGAGGTGAGGTCTGGAGGGACACCTGCAGGGGGGGGGTAGGTGTGGTATCCCTGGAGGGGCCTGGGCAGGAGGCAAGAGCTGCCTGCTGGCTGCAGTGCTGTGCATGGTGGGGTTTGCCTCTAAGAAATGACAAAGCCTGGAAACCTGTTTTTGAAAACTGTCATCCTGGTTCTTTGCCTGACGCAGCTGGGAGATAAAAAATCTTTGGAGGGGTGGTTGCTGGTGAATGTGCAGACATGAAACTGAGAGTTGTGTCTGTTAGGGCTTTAAGCATCCAAAAAGAAAAGGGGGGAAAAAAACAACCATCTCATCCAGCTGCCTTGATGAGGGACAAAAATTCCTCGTGAAATTGCTGCATACAAAGCAAGTCCTGTGGATTGACAGATCTGGATGTAGTGTTACCTACACCACTTTGCTTCCTGAGCATATGGGATTGCTCACTGTTGAGTTTTGAGACCGTGTTTTAATTTCCCCAAACCACAGCGCTGTACGTATTTTGCTCTTTTTGGGGACTGACATCTTTCCTCAGCTTTTATAGTAGCTACAAAAGAGACACACACAACCTCGATACTGCGAGTAAATTCCCTTCTGTGCAGTAGGAGCTCAGCAGGTGACAACTTCCACTTACCATTCCACCTCTTGCAACATCTGGATGGTTGTACCCTGGTGCTGTCTGCTTTCACAGCTGCTCGCTGTATCCCAATGTCCGAGTGCAAAACTGCTGCTGTTGGCCTTGATTGCATAGTGGATTTTTGATGTGGGGAACCCCTAACCCTAACTGCACTGATCTCTCAAGTGTCTTTTCCAATCAAAATAGGTACAGAAAGTTGAACTCTCTTCACTTCTACATTACCTTTCTGTGTGAAGTGCAAATGTTTGAGGGCAAATCTCTTTCTCGAGAGATGTTTAGCCCAAGGCAGCCGGGGAAGAGGTCGGCTGAGGTTTATACTTCCATGGCAGTGAACTCCACGCCTGAACAGTCAAGCTGAAGTCTTTGCTGCTGAAGGCAGCTCTGCATGTTCATTTCCTGGTGATTTTGCTCCATGGGCCACCAAATACAAGGCCAGTAGGTTGTTCCTCTTTTTTTCTGAAGTGTGTGAAGACCTGCCCCAGGCTGGGCAGGCGCAGACCCTCACTGGGCCACGTCTCCCATTCCAGCAGCAAAGCCAAGCCACCTCCCAGAGCAGCCGAGTCAGACATGGGCTCACTTGCTGCTGTTGCCTTATATATTGACTACATTTAATTCTGAGAATTATCCGTAAATACAACTAAAGCAAAAACCAGGACACAGAAATGAGGAAATGTCCATATTCCTGTGTACCTTTAATGGCAGGTCTGTCCTTTGCCTTTGGTGGGAGGCTGTGCAATTCTGTAATTACACGCTGGTTACTGCAGGACTCGACTCACTCATTTTGCGGCATGGACGATGCCCTGTGGAAAGCAGGCCACTTAGCAGCGGTCTTCACTTTTCTGTCTCCCAGGTCTGTAAGGTGCCAAAAACCAGATGGCTGATCTGCTGGCCACAACCCAGCACACAGGTGGCAGGGGTTCCGCGCCTGACCAAACCTGCCCCTGGTGACACAGAAGTCACTGAGCTGTTACGACATGCGGGCTCCTCACAACAGCAGTATCGTGGAGAGCCGCCCCTTCGCACCAGAGGTGACTGTCTTCACCCTGGCAAAGCATCCCACCCGTCCCACCTCTGGCCACACTGGGCCAGCTCCATTGCCACTTCCAGGCTCACAGTCCTTTATAAAGCAGCATTTATATTGTCTTTTCTTGAGCTCTTTAAAAAAGGGTGGGGACCTTCCAACCTCTTCAGTCTTAAGAGAAAAAGTGACTCGGATGCAGCTGATTCTGCAAATGAGGGTCATTCATGAAGGCTAAAATCGCAACTCCCTAACTTAAAAGCCAGAGAAGGGGGACAGAAGAGGGTGAACCATGGACAGAACTGAATCTAAAATCCCTCAGGCTATACTGCACCGAGGGACTCCTGAAAGGAAAAAAAAAAAAAAATTATAAATCACAGCTCATGAAAGAAGGCACACCTTCTCCTCAGCAGACAGGAACACTTACTTCAGTCTTAGCCTCTGCTCTGCTAAGGCCTTAAGTGAGGAAGGTGAAGGCCCTAAGGAGCAGCTACAGCTTCTACTTCTCCCGCCCTTACTTTTCTCTCAGCACACAGGGGCACAACGTGCAGAAAACAAGCGCAGGGCTCTCTCCCGACCAGCTGGATGCTCAGGGTCAGCCGACAGAGGCACACAGCGCAGGGACAGCTGGAGCAGGCGCTAAGACCAGAGGCACCTGCACGTCTCAAGATCTCCCCCTGCAGTGACAGAAGAAACTGGCAAGCGCTGAACTATGGGAAGCCACAGGCCCCATCCTCCAGTGCTGCACTTATTTGCTGGGAGATGGGTCACCCCTTCTTCCTCCTGCTCCTTAAGAAGGTACCAGGCAACATCAGCTGCTTCCTAGAGAGTAGTATCCATCACGCAGACCAGCCTTCCAGTTTCCCCTTGGACAACTGAGACCCCTTAGCTACCCCTTCCTCTATTTTGAGATTCTGGAAGCTGGCTACTAGACACCCCCAACAACCTCCAGCTCCATCAGTAACTTTTAACACATAGTAGCCTTGAACCTCGATACCTCACTGCTCCTTGGCTTTGCCCTGACACCCAAGGGTCACAGGAAATTGAGAAACCGGTGCTCAGTACAAGCTGCAAGTATTTGTGAAAGTTATCTTACTGAGCGCTAAGCAGTGAGATTTACCCAGCTCAGACGGGTCAGAGTAGGTTCCAAAATCGTATGTATTCATTAGATGAAGACAACCAAGGGA